ATATATCACACAGCAATAAATTATTCAAAATTTCAACTTGAATGTTAAAATTTTATTTTTGTTATGACTAATCTTTTAGCCAAACCAATTACTCCTTATAAAAATATCTAAGCATTTCAGTTAATAAATATGTTATAAATTTGGCTAATATTTCAATAAAACATAAGCTTTGGCATAATATACCAACAACATTGAAAAAAAACTGTCACATGAAGTTGTTTTGTATTTATACACTGCACATTTTCGTCAGCTGCTTGCTACAACACCACAAGCGATAGGTTGATTTCTCTGTGTGGATCAACTAAGCTCATAACAAAGATGAAATTATTTTTAAAAATATATCAATTTAAGATTATACCAGCATGATTAGTTTGAAGAGTGCTGCTAAAACATGTTCATGTATTCAGTGACCCATACAACTATAAAGTGAAAAGTGTATGCAGCATTTTACGACGATTTATGATCAGTTGTACACAGTTCAATCATTGCACAATTGTATGAAACAATTTGGTGGCTAACACATCAGTCAGAAGAAACATTCTTTGTTATAATCACATTTATGGATTACATCATTAGTACACTAAACTAACTATATGTACTCAACTTCCTGATGTACATATCTGTTATTGATAAAGTATAAATCTGCAAAGAAGTGTAAAGTGGATATTCATCTCTGAATCCACATTGTTATTATTACCATTTTTACACTTAGTTAAAATGCCTCTGCACAAAATGCTAGTTGTGCACATGATGAGCATCAACTGTACGATTTCCAAATTCTCACATGAACCACAGAACACACTGAAAAAAGCTAAAGAGTCAGTTAAAATACAAGTCATGGCTAAAAGAAAAACATTCTAGGTTTCTGCTTATAATGTTTAGATAAAAGCATTCAAGTGCGACATTTTTTTTAAATACAACTTTTCCTAAGGTGTGAAGCTAACAGATGTCTCATTATTTTATTAATATAATTTTTTAAAAAACTGTGGTAATATCATGGAGAAGACATTCCCCTAGCTCATAATTCTAGGTTTCCTCCTCAATATTAAATCAATAGAGAATCTCAAAATAGTTACAAAAAACTAAAACACAACACAATTTGAAACTTTATTAGGAAAGTAAACTGAATTCACATGCATCGAAATGAGGTCAATGTTATCAGCCAAGATAGCATTAGACCAGGCCTTGACAAATATTTTCAGATCTAGGAGCCAGCCCAAAAACTTAGGAGCCAGATCCAATATACAAAAGTTATGGAATACATTTTGAATCAGTTGTGTGGTTATGTTATGAGACGTACAGTTTTGCACTAAAAAACAAAGGGTTTATTATTAAATTTTATTATATAACATGAGCAGAAATACCCACCCTCCAGGCCAGTATTACTGCTAATTCCTGTGGAAGGCTATTGGGCCTGCAGCCTTTTCTGGAATTGTCTGACAGTTCTACAACAATGTACTCATACTTGACATTCAATAATGTTCGCCATCCATGAGAAAAAGGATTTTATTGAAATTTTAGTTTACAAATGAGCTATCATCACAGCATTACATCACAGAGTAGATTTTATTTAAGTATTTCTTTGTAGATGCAGTTATCAATGAAAGTGCCTTTATTTTCTGATGCAACACTCATGAGATTTTCACTAAAGATATGTACTCAAGATATGTCTGTAAATTGATAAAGTCAGTCTGATTCAGATTGGTAATGTTCATGTGAAGTATAAAAATACCTCTGTCCATTGTAAAGTTTGTGCATTACATTTCTTCTCTACAACCTCTAAAATGAATATCTACAAGTTCTTTCAATATTCCTGTATATTTTATCTGATATTTACACTTTTCTACCATGAAATGAATAGTTGATAACTCTTACATCAAATGCATAATACCATGTTGAATGGCAATCTGTAAAAGGTCATAATCTGTGTATTTTATTCCTCACCCATGCTAATAGGGTAAAAAGCAAGCAAAATGTTAAAATACAGATTTGGCTCTTAAAAGGATGCTGATAGTAAGGTTTTGTTGAATACTATGAAATTGTTGAGCTTTCAAATATGTTATTCTCTTCTACTTTCACAAAAGGAGATATTAGCAATACTCCTGACACCATGCATGTTGCATGAAACACTGGAATTAATCTGAATGATATAGTTACTAATTTCTGGTAAGTAGAAAGACTGAGTGATTAAAAATAGGTGAAGCACGAGGGGCAGACAAGATTTTGGCAGAAGGGAAATATTTTCTTTTTGAGCTTCTCTCCATTTTTGGCAAGTAAATAGAAAATGGGCAGACTAGAAGGTTCATAAGTATACTCACATTTTTAAATGGAATGAAGAGAGTTGCCATGGAAATTATTGACCAGTTTATGTTACCTATGTCGTGGGGAAACTTCTGAAAAGTCTTATAAAAGATGCTTTAGAAAATTATTTAGTGAAATAAATGAAAGAAAAACCTCATCTGTTACCTTTTTTTTTGAGAACATTATCTGAATGTAAAAAAGTATGTGGACTTGGGTGTACTTGGGTTTTTAACAACTTTTGGTATATTTCCACACAAAAAATATTACTAAGAGCATCACATCAGTAGGAGTCAGAGAAAGATTAGTTAATATAATGTAAGGTGGTTTAATGAGAGAAAGTAAAAGTTGGTTATTTACAAATGAATCCAGTTAAATTGGACCCTTGTTACTAATGGAATGCTTCCGGAGTCAATGTTTGGTCCTTTGCTCTTTCTTATTTACATTAATAATAATGACTTGGCGTAATTAGTAATGTTTGATGATGGCATTGAACTCTTTGGTATTTTTAGTTGTAATGAGGATGTTGAGATACTATAGAGGAAGTGGTGAGTTGAACAAATATTTGGCAAATAAACTTTAATTGTAATAAGCTTGAGATAATATGTAGGTTATCATAATTTGGATCACACATTTAGATAAGTTTACAAAATTAGCCTGGAAATAAATAGGATAAAGGCCTCATTCTTTGTGCTATATTCTCAAAACAATAGCCTAGGACAAGGGTTGGCAACCTGCAACTATTTAACGATATATGTGTAACTCCCGACACTGCAGACTGTACCCCAATGAAATAGGGGGTACATGTATTATAGCTCTCAGTATCTCAAGTTATTTAATGAATTTGAAAAAAATGGCTCTTGTTATTTGGGTTGCCTACCCCTGTCCTATAACAAAGGTGGGTGTAGAGGGACAACATTGAAATGATCCACCATTGTCTAAATGTTAAAATAATTATTGATGTAACTTGACTCTCATCCACTAAGCAACTTGCCAAACTGTGGTAAGATCAGCTATTGTAATTTTTGTATTACTATTACTACTAGTAGTATTATGTCTGACAAATGAAATATTAAACTTTGAACTTGAAGTAGTACTCAGTAAAACAAATAATGTGAAATGAATTTGGTAACAGTTACAATGTGATCTTACCTGTTGGAGCACTATCTATAATTCTTAAGTCATAAGCTCCAGAACATCTGTAATTTGCAGCTGTTCCATTGTCCCAAACAACAACTACCTCCTCTGGAGACTCAAAATTTCGAACAGTTCCAACATGACCCTCCCCCCCATCTTGTTTTCCCCATTTCCAGTCAGGTCCACGCATAACCCTTCCACCAACTCCTTCCATGATGTTTACTCTGTTACTTCGATTGCTTCCATTAGTTGTGCTACTTTCCATATCTGAAGAGAACAGAAATAGCCTGTCAAAATATTTATTTTTTTGAAAACTGAATTCAAAATTTAAACATTGTCAATTTGACAGGTTAGCCTAACTTAGAAGTTAGACAACTCCACGTCTCGACTTTATTGCGCGATATTGTACGAGACATCCCTAGCGGCGAATATTAGAATAAAAGCTGAGTTTCTATTAAGTAGGCTAACATTCCCGTCCAATTTGATAAGATATGGTTGTAAAGGTAGTGAGTTAGTTCAGAGTGTGAAAATATATTGTTGGGAGTTAGAACACTTGCAGTTTTTATTTTCTGTAATATTCAGCCACATAACAAAAACACAGTTATAATTGTGTCAGCTTTATTGTTAATTTAGAGAAGCCTGCGAACAGTTGAAAATAAATTGTTTTACAATTTGCAGTTTTCTAAACGTGTTTCATTTTTTAAATGACATCTTTTGTGTTTTTTTACTACATATGTTTTGTGGATTATACCATGCCGGAATACCATTGAACGGATGTGACATCATTTTTGGAAATATACGCTAAACATAATGGCGACCGTGTTGAAGCGACAGAGGTCACGTCGCCGGGTAGCTGCTTTAACGTTTCTATCTAATATATCACTTGATGGGACACATAGAGATACTAGACTTGGAATATTCAATCTCAGTTTCCAGCCATACCAAATGAACAATGAATCAAATACGAACACACCGAAAGAAGAGGTAAAAGAAAATGTAAATAACACAATTTCACACGCTAGCAACGGCATTGAAACTAACTGTCAATGTGACTGTGAGACTGCCACGGAAAGGCAAGAATATCGTCAGGCGAACCGGGATGTAGCAACGGAACATCAGAGCATTAATTCCACGAAACATGATGAAGGGAAATTTCCAACCGCTACTACTACTACTACTACTAGTACTAGGTCTTTATCTTCGTCTAGCGTCATAAGTCACAACTCGAAGGAGAATGAAAAGTAAGATAACTATTCTTGTTAAAACAAAGAAAAACGAAATTTTAATGCACTTTTAATTTACTTAAAAATTAAAATTATTGTGCACGTAGGATAGTCAGGCTTAGAATAGAGTTAGAACCTGGAAATGGAAGTTTAAATAAGTTAACAAACTACGAGAAAGTAGTGAACTATTACTGAAGTGAATATGAATCTTGATTGAGATACAATACAGTATACTGTTAGTGTTATTACCTAAAAACGGGAAGACGAACTTAAGTTGTTTCTTCTGTTCTAGTTCTACACTAAAAAGTAAAAGTAGAGGTTTGTATAATCTGTTGCTAGACCTTTAGCCAAGGTTTGAGTAAGGTGTCTTTGGTTTGGTGTACCAGGCCTATTTAAAAAAAATATGTGACTGGAGTGTTTTTTTTTATTTTAGTTACTGTGATAATAAAATGATAAATATTTTATTTGGCAGAAATTAACCCATGCTTATGAGAGAAAAGATATAATGGATGTTGGTAAAATTCAGTGTGTTTGCTTTTAGGTAAATAACATAAAAACAAACGATAAATAATGTTTTCCTTATGAGGTTGTTAAACCATGTAGGGACTTGTAAGTTGTAGAGGCAGACTATACTCACAAGGATGAGAAATTTCGTGAGTTTTCAGTTCACAGATGTCTCAGTTAGGTATTCTTAAATGAATGGGAGAATAATATTGTTAATAAAAGAAAAATACCAAGATTTTTTGCAGTGGTAAAATAGAGAATAATAGAATACATAAAAGTAATTCAAGATAAATCATAAAACCTACTTTAAATTTATGGCAAAGAGAGACAAAATAATACTTCTTAGATCACACCTTTCCCACAAAGTAGGTTTGGTAAGAAAAGACAAGGTGACATAAAGCCATTTGCCTCATTAAGGTTACCTCTTTAAACCCCAAAAAATACATGTTTATATATAAATTATATTTGAATACAATTTTCTGCTGATTGCAAAAAAAAAAGAAGAGATGGGGAAAACAGTAAACTTTAAATCTTTTGAATTAAAAATGTTTTCTAGTTGGATCCTGGAATGCTGAGTAGTTTTGATTCTTTACATTTAAAGATTTTAACATGATGGAAAGAATAGAGGAATGTGCTACTAGAATAATAACCTTGTTAAAATCAATTACTTTGAAACTTTACAGGATGGAAATACATAGGTGAATACTTTTAATTTAATAAAGTGCAAGAACTGAGAATTGACAAGGAATACTAATTATTGTTGTTAAATGAAATCACTAGTAAGAAGGATCAAAATAATTAGTTTCTCTTACATATTTTGTAGAAAGAATAAAACAATTATAATTCTTTTTGTGTGTGTCTAAATTTCATTTGAATATTGCAACATACCTCAAAAAAGTCTCTTGAATAATAGGAAAACTCTGACAAATTAAATTAAAAATGTTTCTTGTTTTAAAGAAAATATATGATCTATTAATAAGCAATGTGCCTAATAAACTTAAAATCAATTAACTCCAAGAGATTAATAAAAGGTTAGAAACAGCTTGAATTGGTAGTGAAGAAAACTATTATTTGTTTAACACAATGACAAATGTACAATGTTTTGACACGTTTTTATCATAATTACGTAAAAACAGTTTATCTAGACATAGAAATATATATAATATGCACACACAGACTGATTATTAAGTGCATAGCCAAGACTGACATAACACACTGTGTTGTGATGGTTAAAAGATGATGATTTTATGTAAATCAGTATATAAGAAACAAGTTGATAGCATAATATCCTATCAATATCATGCAGGAATATCCTTCAGATGATCTGTCAAAAAACTAAAAGCATATGTAACCAGTTTTCTGAAAAGGAAATTGTAACTGCAGATTGCTTTCTTTCACAAACCTCTCCATGCATCATTCCCTGTCCGAAAGGTAATTTTGTGTGAAATCCAACCTGCTTCTAAAGCAAATAGTAATGACTTGTATTGCTGGCTTGTATCAATAAAGGCAAATGACTTTTGATTACTGTAAGGACTGTTAGGATTTTCATGGGTTTGGATCACATGCTTAATCTAGATGTTAACCCACACAATAGTATTAGTGACAAAAAGGATCTTATAATAGTGGTGGTTAAATCACTCAAACTATTAAAGTAGTACTCTGTTTCTAGTAGTAAAACTAATAATTGACTTGTTGCAAATGGTTCAGAGGAAGACTACTAGATAATTGACTTGTTGGAAATGGTTCAGAGGAGGACTACTAGATAATTGACTTGTTGGAAATGGTTCAGAGGAGGACTACTAGATAACTGACTTGTTGGAAATGGTTCAGAGGAGGACTACTAGATAATTGACTTGTTGTACATGGTTCAGAGGAGGACTACTAGATAATTGACTTGTTGTACATGGTTCAGAGGAGGACTACTAGATAATTGACTTGTTGTACATGGTTCAGAGGAGGACTACTAGATAATTGACTTGTTGTACATGGTTCAGAGGAGGACTACTAGAATGATACCAGGAGTGGACAGATTATTTTGTTGGGATAAGCTAAGATATTTTAATTTATCTTCTCTTATTGAATTTTGCTATATTATTTAATGGGGTAAAGGACTTTAATTTCCTTGTGTTGTATTGTATACATAACAGGACAGTCTTCAAGGACCAGGTGGTCCTTTGATGTCTGTATGCCATGTTGTAAAGTCAAGATTTTTTTGCACTTATCTTTTTGGTATATGTGTAAAACTGCCTACAGACAGGCTTATTACTCGATTACGCAAAGTCTGATCTCACTCTCATGTTGCTTCTACAGCTGTTGTAAGTTTTACTGTGAAGTACTCTTAAGATTAGACCTTTAATAGTGATTACGTTTGTCATATGATAAGACCTGTACATGGTAGCATATCATATCTAGCACTTTTTCAAAGTAAGGTTAATGTAATTTATATTTTATATAATTTAGCCCTGCAACTGCTTGTTTTTGTACGTCCTGAAAAACGCGCGCGTACTTTACTATCTAAATGCGCATGCGCGCGTACTATTTCAACGGATATAAATAAAGGGCGGATGTAGATATACTTTAATAGACATTTTGTACAACAACAAATTAAATTTATAAGCTTATCAAAGTTTTTATAAAGTTCTAACGTTAGTTCGTAGAATAACATTTAAGTTCATTTATTAATGGTATTAACGTAAAGTTTAGCCCGAACTAAACTAAAGCAAAGAAAACGTACACAGGTTGTACAGGGGAAGGTTTATTACACCATGCCCATTCCTACCCTATTTCTTCACATTTTTTTGCGCCCATTCTTACACTTTCAAATTTATTTAATATGTTTTCCTTGTGCTCACTCTTTTTTCATACAAGGTGACATGATTTTATGCACCACTTATTCATTTGTGTTGATATCCTATATCTATATCATCATTGTGAGTGTGCACCATAATATTACGCTAAGTATTCAATGCTTTATGAATGCAAACTTGATTTAATTTAAAATATGTCTTATACATTCCTTGCAAAAGAGCATAACTTGTCTTCTAGCCTAGATAGTGACGCTTCTCTCAAGGCTCACCCTACGTTGGCATACCTCATACTACTCACAATTTCTAGATCTGTTCACACGGTGCTGTAGATCGAGAAGACCACACCCCATTCACTGTCTTATTTGACCACATCTACTCAGTATATGGAGTGAGCAAGGAGATTTATGTATTTTAAAACGGCGTCCCTGTTTAAGGTATTACCTGATGTACATCAAATAGCTACTCTTTTTGGTGATGTTTGGTATAGAAAAACGGTAACATAGCATGTGGTCCCTGTGCACTTATAACTATGGTAAGTCTGTTTGTTACACAACCAGAAGCGTTCAATAATGTCAGTCAGTGAGATTGAGAAATCTGTGGTTTTGTATTTGCTCTACCGACTTTCTCAAATGGTTGTATGACTTGTAATTTTGTTTGTGGTTTGTTTATGACCTAAAGGTGTCTCTCAAATACTTTTAAGATTTATTATTTAGTTGTTAAAGTTGTATATGAGTAAATAGTTTATATTGCGTGTATTGTGTATCCGCCTTGTTCCTACAATAAGTACTTATGATAAAGGCTTAACAAAATGGGCTTTTATAAGTTATAGATTTCGGTGTTTGCGAATAGAATTATTTTGTATTATTCGAGAAATCCTGTATTTAAAGAAGTAATTTTGCAATAAAGGTACTAATTTGACCGCAAATATTTGCTTGCATATCATAATCCCTAAATTTTGTCCTCAGTGGATTTTATTTTCTCTTTTAATATTGAAAAGAGAAATCTAAACTATAGGTAAGTTACATTCCAAAGTCTCTAAATGAGCAATACCTGTATGCTCTCAAATTAAATAGTTTATCTTCTGAGTAGTAATACATGGCAACCGCACAGTTTAAGTTAGTTTAACCTATTAAATTTATGAATCTGTTAATTACGGCGAAAACAAAAAAAAATAAAAGAAAACATATTGGCACTAAACTGTAGTTAGGTTCTAAGTGTTGCGTTCTTTTTTAAAATTACTTCCACAGTCCATAAATTATGTGGGTAAAAAAAGTGTCCATAATTGTTGTGAAGGCATGTTAAGGTTACCCGGCCCACCCAGCCCTTGCTTTGAATCACAATTTAGAAATTATAGACAGATTTATGTACAAAATTGTATCATAACTCGAACCATTAACAAAATATTTGTCAAAGCTTTACTCCATGCTGCATTAAGTACTCCATTTACTGTCAAAGCTTTCCTCCATGCTGCATTAAGTACTCCATTTACTGTCAAAGCTTTCCTCCGTGTTGCATTAAGTACTCCATTTCCTGTCAAAGCTTTCCTCCGTGTTGCATTAAGTACTCCATTTACTGTCAAAGCTTTCTTCCATGTTGCATTAAGTGCTCCATTTACTGTCAAAGCTTTCCTCCATGCTGCATTAAGTACTC